GTTTTTATTAAAAAAATTAAACTTTTTAATAAAAACACAGGCAAATTTGCCTGTGTTACAATTTAAGGGATAGTATTATAGTTTATACAGTATTACTTTGTGTAAAAGTAAATTTGTAGATCTTTATATTTGCATCTTTAATCACTATTAGAACCAGAAAAAGCTCTTCTACAACTTTATTTAAAACTAGAAGAAAGGTTTACTTATTAGTTTTAGGGTTAGAGTTAGAGTAATATTAAAATTTAAAGCTAAAATTAGGGTTATAAGTTTTTTTTTATATTATTGTCAAAATAGAAAATCATGTGTAACCATGGTGGAAATAGCAATTCCCTATAATAGATACAAAACCACTAAGATACATTTTATAATACAGTAAATAAAAAATTTTTAGATTTATAAAAATAATTAAAAACTTACTGTTTACTATATAATAAAATTTAATTTTTTTTTTATTGCAATTAGCTTTAACTTTAACTATACATAACAATTATAAAAAAATTATTAAAATAAAGTCTTGTACTATTTTTTATATTACGTATTTAAAATTTTTATCTATATATAAATTTATTTAGATCCGTTTTTGGTAATTGATTGTGTGCGAAATTAATTACGTATGCAAAAAATTTCATCCTTTATACTTAATAGGTAAAAAATATATATCAACCTGGATTTTTTTTAGTGGAATATTAATAAACAAAAGGTTGTAATTAATTTTTAAAGTTTGTTTAGTATCTAAAATAGTTTAAATAGTTTATTCTAAGCAAACCTTAAATCCAAGCTCAACTCTAGAGATAGTGGTAGCATTTAATGAATGATCTACGATCGAGAATTATAAGGAGACGCATAATTCATCAGATCGCCATCTTCCTAGTGGCCCGTGGCTTTCTATTGTTACAAATCATTATGGTAAATCAACGCATAATACGTGTGAAGAGAAGCCTTAAAGTGAAATATTTGCGTTACACGACATTTCCCCGGCAGTTTTTTTAAAAGCGATTTGATTATAGGATGCAACCATCGACTTTCCAAGTCCCTTCGTGCAATTTCTCGTGCCGTCTTAAGTCGAAATTGCATAGTCTGACAGGAAAAAGCTAATAAGAAAATTTTTTTCTGTGAGTTAGAAAAGAGCGCCTGCCTATAATATTGACTTTCTTCGGGTTATTAAATAAGACTGTCTTATAACTCAAAATTATTTTATGCATTCTGACGCGTAACTCTTTGAAGTGTAGCCAGTAAGTATGGCTAAGGGCATAGATACTAGCTCACTAGCTCACGTGCTAGAAATAAATTATACCTGTTATACCAACATATTGAACCTTATGCTTAGTTTGTTCTAGGGTGCTAAAAACGTTATTATAAAGAATATGTATCCCCCTTCTGAAAATTATGTTTCAAATGTTGAGTTAAACCATTTTTCCTTTGATTGGTCCTTTCAAGAAACTGAGCTTCCTCCAGGTGAGTATTTAATCATTAGTTATGCAAATTACAAAATTTATTGGAATCATTTGCTATAAATTTTTTGCTTTCTTTTAACGCATTTTAATATAAAGGTGTATCTCAGAGCGATTATGCGCCACCCCTTCCTAATGCGCCGCCTCCGTGCTTACCAATTTCAACCTCTTTCCATCATGGCCAACAGAGCTTTTGCCAACAACCTAAACAACAAAAAACTTCGCGCGGAAAATACAATAAACATAAACGTGGATCATTAAAAAATTGGACTGGTTCTAGGCGACCTAACAACGTTTATAGCCATGACGAATCATCAGCAGGCGGACAATTAAACGTCAATTATCTAGCATCGCAAATGACGTCATCTGTCAATTCAGTTCCTTTGCCGTGGCACACGTCAAACGCACCTGAGCGTACGCCACCTTGGCGATCTCATATTTCAACGGTATTTTTTGATCATACTTCTTATAATAAGATTTCCATTAAATAACATTTAAAACCTATTTTCAGTCTCTGGACGGAACTGACAATGGCATGCCACACGAAGAGTTTGGGAGCCGCCAAGAATATTTTCGCTTACCTTTTACTCCAGAAAGTTCATCCATAAATCATAATCAATTCTCACGTCATTATATGTCTCAATATGGTTATCAATCGACACATAGGATTACGGCAAGTCAATATGATCTGCAACGTTCCTTTAACACATCGTCTTCTCAAGTAAGTATGGTGTGGAAAACCCGTTTAAAATAAATCTAATTACTAAATAAACGTAAAATATTTATGCTCTTCCGTATAGATAGTAATTGAGAAACCTGCTGCGCCAAATGCTAGTAATACTAAAAATAGTCAAGAACGTATCGTTAAAGTTGATGATACTAAAAAGAAAATCGTCAATAAACCAGTTAATTCTGATAAGAAGCAACCAGTACTGGTATTTCCTCGTAGCAAGAAACCAAAAACGGAAGAGACAAAAAAGCACAACCAAAACAATGTAATTTGCCAAGTAAATGCCAATGACGAACCATTAAATCCAAGAACGGGGGTTAACGCCGGTCTTCAACTCTTTAAGAAAAAAACAAACAGTAAAAAAATAGAATTTAAACTTGTAAGTAGCATTGGTCTTTCAAAGCTCAACATTGATAAATGTCGAATTCGTGAGTCACGCGTTCAGGATGATCATCTTGAAGTGTCTGCTAAGGTAAGGGTAATATATATACTGTGAATAATCTTATTTTCAATAATAGGTCGGAATAGTAACATATATTTACCCACTTTAGAAAATTAAATTAGATACAAATAAAAATACGGAAGCTACACAAGCAGTTCAGAGTACAAAGTCACAAGTGGATAAAGAAGACAATGTTTGTTCTAATACAGTTGAACCTCTGAAACCCACAATTGATGAGACACGAGATGATGTGAAAAAAATAAATTATGGCGATTCCATTTCTCACAATGAAAATTCATTTTGTCATGATAGTGAATTTGAGTGTAAAAAAATGAATATCGACTCGAATATCGACTCAGATATCGTCATCGAACCGTGTCAAATTGCTCATAAGAATATTCCAATTACAGGTAATGAAAAGGAGAACGAAGATGCTAACGCGGCCTCTGAACTTCCTCAGAGTGACGATCTCAATATAATGGCTGTTGATACGCAGCTTGGACATACAGAATTGATAGTTGATGAATCTGATGGTTCTATTAAACCATTATTATCTAAGCAAAAACGTGTTGAAAAAAAGCTATTGAATGTGACCAGTAAAGAAGGAAAAGAACGTGATTCACCAAAGCCGCAACCCAGATCCAGGCAAAGTTATGTTCGTAAACAGAAAATTTCTTGGATGAATACAAAGGATGCAAAAGTCAATAAATGCGAATCGTGTGGTGACAAATCTAAAGATTTAGAGACCATAGGAGCACTTGAGCTATGTTCAACTTGCGTGCCACTGTTTACTTCTCAGGTAGCTAGAGCAAAAGCATTTCCACACAATTTTAAACTAAATCAAAAAGTGGAGGTACTAAATATAGATAAAGTTTGGTATCCTGCTAAGATTGTCATACTCGAAACTGACGAAGATTTGTTCTGGCCTTTGGCACGTATTCTACTTTTGTTATGAGGTATTAACATTGATTCAT